TTGGGAACAGCTGCAGCAATGGTGATGGCGGTGATGGCGACATGGCGGTTTGGGACTTCATCTCAGCGCGGCCGCCGCCCAGGCGCCGCTGCGCCCGGCTGCTCAGCCACCTACCGGATGGCGGGGTGGCCCTTACGGCCCTCACGCCCGTTCGGTCTGCGGCCACGTTCTGGGGTGGCCGTCGCGGGGTTAGCGGCGTTGGACTTCGTCCTTTATCCAGACTGCACCGTACCATCTGAACGGATGGATCTGCCAAGAAAGATGACATCCAAGGCGGCTATGAGGCGATCACAAAGCTTCAGCAAGAGCTTCTCCTTCATGGGGCCGGCCGGCCGTTAAGTCGCAACACCGGCTGCCGAGTGCCAACAGCTGCGTGCGCTGGCGCCGACGCGTTGTGGGCCGCGCTGCTGACGCTCAAGCTGCGATATCAACCATCTATGAATAAGTGGCAGCGGTGGCGGCTTGTCAGTTGTTAACGTGCCTTTGCAGACGTTGTGAATAGCCCACGTTGGAATCGCATGGTTGGCAACACCACGCAAGCTAAAATGGGCTTCCTTGATGAACCTACTTTTTAAGCATTGTAGCCTTTGTAATTTTTTATGTTTTGCTGTAGGTATTATTTTCTACATATATACTATATAGGCACTCACGTGCTTTGAATCGCGCAATGCAATTGAACCATGGTAAAGACAATGATAAATGAACTGAGAGCTGACATGCCCCATGCTTTGTGTGAGTGTGTGTGTGTGTGTGTGTGTGTTTTTTTTGGCGAGTCGATAAAAGTGGTTTTGGACACTGGATGAGTTTTTAGGGGTGTGGTGAGGGGGAATGTAATTCCACAGACCTTTTGTCAGACTCACCAATGCAGTAGGTCTGTGCGGTATTTAGATATCGGAGCATTCTTTGAAAGTCGTGAATAGGGCAACTGAGAACCTACCTATAGCCGTGATATCCCCTCACAAAAACTTCTTTTAAATAACCGGGGATAAGTACATAAGCAGAGTAATTGCTATTACGAACACCTAGGTATCACAATGCTGAGCGAATAGGAAAATCTATAGATGGAGAATTGTGCCGCGTTACGGGTGCTCGGGCGCAGCCAATCCAGCGTTACCCCAGCGGTGACCTTGACCCGCATCGTCTGTCTCGGCTCCAAAGCCAAACCGGCGTGGAATTGGGAGCGCTCGAGCACTCATGGTCCAGCGCAATTCTCCACCTGAATCCATTCCTGATACACATTTGCTTGCTCATAGTCATGTAACCCCGGTAAATTCATCTAAATTTCATATTGGTCGCTCCATAGACAGATGGCCACAGATCAGGGGCGGATCCAGAAAATCTCCAAGGGAGGGGCCATTAGAAACCAGGAGCCCCCCCCATAATCCCACCTGTTGGAGGCCCCATCTTCCCACTTGTTGGCCCCCCCCAAAAAAAAGCTGCGTCTATTGAGCTTATCTAGCTGTTCAGGCAACATCTCAACATCTGTGCAGGCTTGGAGGCCCTCTGTGCAGGTTAGGAGGCCCTGTAAAAGTGGTCATCTCTGTGAGTATAAGAGACCTCCAAGTTATGAAAAGCTTTACCAATCTTCTAACAAAGAAGTCTTCTCAGCTAGTCTTCTAAGAAATAACTAAGTGGGTAGGTTAAAAAAAAAACTCATCGGATTTCGACCACTTTATTTTCAGGAGGCCCCCTTTTCAGCTTTTTAACTTTTTAACTTATTTTATTTTTGAAAAAAATCGGCCAAGGGGGGGGGGGCCATGGCCCCCATGGCCCCCCCTTGTATCCGCGCCTGCCACAGATATCAACTTAAAAGGCCATTGTTGCATTCATTTAGTGGAGATCATTAAAGAGCCGTGATAGGCCACAAGTCGCGTGACATCATACGTGTAACAACCAATGACGTCGGCCTGCAAAACCCAATGGAAGCGGCTAGCAGCGTGCAATAAAACAGGGCGCTGCTTTCTAAATGTCTGTCGTGCGCCATAAATGAATATATCTTTTGTAGTGTGGCAACTCAGTATCTTTTTTTAACTATTGTACTAGTATTTAATAATTTCATAATTTTGTAATTGTGCTTACGCTTTATGTTGATGTTAGTAATAAATCCTTAGATAAAGTAAATCGATGTGATATTTAATAGAAAAATAGCAAACTAACGCGCCATTCATTCGAAAGCTGGTAAACCTACTAAAAAGAACTACTAAAATTCCTGAGGAACCAAAGGATTATATTGGTATCAAATAGATGCCTGCTATTCCGTCGTGAAAACGGCCAATATGAATGTGTCGTGTGATACATGTTTCATGGTCCATTTTACATGACAAATGCGATTATGTGGGTTAGGCAGCCTTTGGGGCCAGCCTAGGTCACGTTTTGGTGAAGGTCAGGTCAAGGTCAGGTCAAATTAGGTCAAATTTCAAAGTTGATATTTTTGCATAAAATGGGTATCGATTCGATGCAGCTCGTCTCGGGGAGTCTAATGGTGGTCTTCGTTTTGCTCTACGAGTTCTAGAATTGCCAAAAATTGAGTTTGAAAATTTGACGTCATCATTTTTTAACAGTTTTTTCGCTATAACTTGGCCAAAAAACGAGGTATCGATCTGAAATTTGGTATGTGGATAGAAGACGGTGGGCACTATCACATATATTCCGGTTTTTTCGAAACTCAAAAAACTTTTTGGATTTTTTGGCGAATATATAAAAAAAAATCCTTTTTTGATTTTTGGGGGTCAAAACTCAAAAATTTCAAAAATTCGGGATAGCAGTTTTGTAGCCCTGTCAATTCTACACCTTTTATGTCTTGATCATTTTTCTGTATCTTCAAAGCTGTAGTCCTGACAGGTCTTCTCGCGAAGGTCTTTTTTCGGTCGAAAATGACAGAACATGACGTCACTCTGACGTCATTTGTGGCCAACCTATCATAGCCTCTGGAAAAAATTTTTGGTCACAATGTGTAAAATTGATGCCCGGAGGGGTCCTGAAAGTTTGGTGGCGATATCTCCAGCCGTTTAGGAGATATCGACCGAAAGGGACAGGGGGGGCCGTTTCGCCCCCCCCCCCCTTCGGGGCGCGGGTTAACACGTCATAGACCTAAGACTGCTGTATTTCAGTTAGGGGAGAGCGGGGTCAAATGTAACACGGGGCAATTGTAACAGTGTTAATAATTCATAAACTTACCAATAGAATGAGCTGATGTTAAGACCGAAAATGCGTAATTCTTTACTGCCTTTCCCAACGGAGTTTGAAGCGAAAGTGCCGGGTATGTCGATGGCTGTGCACAGTAATGTGTTTTTGAGTGCATTTTATAAATTTTTATACCGTTATATTTGATTAGCTCATTCCCGCCATTGAAAAGATATCGACTTCAGACTTTCTGTAAGCGTTGGCAAGCTTGTTGACCATAAATTGAAAGCATTAAATGCTGTACATGCAACATCTTTATGCGCCAGTTTCGTCTAAAATATGTCAAGGCGCGACGGGGACAATTGTAACATTTTTGCAGGGGTCAAATGTAACAGGTTATAGGTCAGTGGCCATTATGTCAAAGTCGTTAAATTTTCAAGGGAGATGAAACATTGCTAGAATTAAGAGAGCTGTAAGTTTTGTCGCAATCGGCAGCTTTTTACGCGATTTATTTGCGAAAAACCGAGGGAGAGGAGGTCCATCCAACCCCTGTATAAGGCGAGGTTTTAAGCCTTTTTTCCTGAGAAGAACCGCCTCTAACAAGTCTGGGAAGATGAACAAGTGTTCAATACTTTTGTTAAATCAAAGTTTTGGGAAAAATTGTGTTGCTGTAGCCTGTAAATTAGCATGTTACAATTGTCCCCGGGTGGAGTTACTTTTGACCCCGTATCTGGGGTGAATTGTAACAGATGAATTGACTTTTTCGGACAACAATTTTGACCCAAAAAATAAGTTATTTCGGAAATGTTTTAACAGCATTTTAAAGACAAAACATCATAGTTTCTGAAAATAAAAGAAAGAGTTTTATAACTGCAAACGTGTTTGCACCAGATGATAAAATGCAAAAAATGTTACAATTAACCCCGTTCTCCCCTACAAATGTTTATTTCTATTTCGAAAAAAAAAATCCACAGCAATCATGGAATACCTACATTTTGTGTTGACTTTGTTATTTCCTTACTTTGCTTTGTACACACATGACCTGATTCTAAAGCAAACGTTTTTTTCTTCTTTCTCATTACCGGCTGCGATTACCATACATAAAACACATAAACTCAAATGAAAGCGAATCAAAGCGATGTTATTGGAGTTAACCTATAATAAAATGCTGAAAAGGTTATCGATTTGCTTTCACTGCCGATTTACCTATATAACAGTCCATCTTTTGTTTTAGTGCATTGCTTTTACTTACACAGCTGAAGAGCTTGCAGAATGGGCAGTGGGGAGTCCGGAGACATTCAGCGCATTAAGTCTATTTTGCTTGGGCAACTTATAGCCTCCAAATGAAATCCAATTGAGGGGGACGCGTTTCCAGTCTCCCTAGAAGCGGAACCGACGCTTCTGCGCTCTCTCTTGGAAATAGTTTCGTCTTAACGGTCGAGAGAAAAGAAACGGACAATTAGAAAAGACAGTGCAGCACGTTTTACTTATAGACGCTTAGAAAAAAACGGTCATTGATTTTATTGCTAAATAATGCGCAGCGCATCACAACAGAATGCCATTGTTATCGTATTTCTGTGGGTGACCTTGAAAACCCAAAGCTAGACGGCCGCTGAGAAAAGGTTTGTTTGACGTTGTGTAGATGAACGCTAAAACCCAATTGCCTGATGCTCTGCCATTTGCGTCGGATGCCACCAAACTGGCCATTTGTCGCTTTTCGCTATTGTACAAGGTCATAGTCGGTGCGGGGCGTGCAGGACGCTGCGATCGATCGCCGCGGCCCCGCTTGCATGCGTAACAGGTCGAGCGGCGGGCGTGAGACGGTCGCGATGGTCTGCCGGCGATACTGGCCGCACCGGGGCAGACTCGGCTCTCACCTTCACAGATGTATCCCTGGCCGATGAAGCCCCAGAGAAGGTCGGTGCAGTGGTGGCAGTAGGTCGGCCGGTGGAAGGTCTTTTTCACGAAGAAGTGGCCCTGGCTCTCGGGGCTGGGCACGGCCGCCATATTTCCGGCTGGCACAGCGGCCCACAGGTGCACTGCCGCTCGGCCCGCCGCTGCTGCCGGCTAGGTCATGTCGCCTGCGGCGTCCAACATGGGTGTCGCACTGCACTAAACGCGCCGCCGGCGGCCGCCATTTGGCCAGCAACCACCACACATCGTCGCCAGCGACGCCGCTCGGCCCACCGCCGCCTGGCGACCGAAAACCGAACTAGGCCGCCGCCAGAGCGGCGCGTGCGCGCGGCGCTGCCCAGCCGCCCAGCTGAACCCGTCGATCGAAATTAATGACGGCGCGTGTCAGCCGGCCCGGCGTCGGCACCGACAGCCGCGCTGCGCCGAGACCGGCGGCGGGAGGTGGCGCTGCCGCGCCGGGCCGCGGCTGGCAGCCGGCCGCAGGCAGGCCCGCTGCCAGCGGCGGCTCGATGGGCGCGACGGCTCGTACAGTGTCACGTGCCCCGACTCGATGCCAATTTTAGTTGGACCAAGGCCTAACATGAAGATCTTAGATGTTTTATGTTGTTGAGCGCTGGTGCGAGGAACATAGGTAGGTGTTCTATGAACATAGAACATAAATTGAAAGCATTAAATGCTGTACATGCAACATCTTTATGCGCCAGTTTCGTCTAAAATATGTCAAGGCGCGACGGGGACAATTGTAACATTTTTGCAGGGGTCAAATGTAACAGATTATAGGTCAGTGGCCATTATGTCAAAGTCGTCAAATTTTCAAGGGAGATGAAACATTGCTAGAATTAAGAGAGCTGTAAGTTTTGTCGCAATCGACAGCTTTTTACGCGATTTATTTGCGAAAAACCGAGGGAGAGGAGGTCCGTCCAACCCCTGTATAAGTGCGAGGTTTTAAGCCTTTTTTCCTGAGAAGAACCGTCTCTACCAAGTCTGGGAAGATGAACAAGTGTTCAATACTTTTGTTAAATCAAAGTTTTGGGAAAAATTGTGTTGCTGTAGCCTGTAAATTAGCATGTTACAATTGTCCCCGGATGGTGTTACTTTTGACCCCGTATCTGGGGTGAATTGTAACAGATGAATTGACTTTTTCGGACAACAATTTTGACCCAAAAAATAAGTTATTTCGGAAATGTTTTAACAGCATTTTAAAGACAAAACATCATAGTTTCTGAAAATAAAAGAAAGAGTTTTATAACTGCAAACGTGTTTGCAACAGATGATAAAATGCAAAAAATGTTACAATTATAGTCCATTTTTTTCAAAAGGCTCATGGCCCGAAGTATTATTTTGGAGTTAGCACGTGCGGGACGCTAGAAAATAACGAAAGCCGAGATGAATTTCTCGGCCATTTTTGAAAGATACCGTAAGGTGGGGCTATTTGAGACAGTGGGGCTATTTGAGACAGTATTTAAAATTGCTATTGAATAAAAACCACCTAAAATTTATGCTTAATATTTTGCTCAGGCGATTTAATGCTCGATTCCACAACTCGCTGAGCAAAACATATCAAACAAAAATCAAACTATCTTCATTTTATAGCGATTTTAAATACATTTCATTTTTTTCATTTCATTTATTCACAGTAGGGGAAGTTGGGGCAATGCCGGAGTTGGGGCAAAGCCGAAATTCGAGATATTTCGAAAACCGTAAGACATGGATGCCACCTGTCAGTGATGCTCTGAAGCTTAAGTGACTACAATTATCGCATGTTTGTTACGAGTCGTCATTCGGAACACTTCGGCTGTGAGGGCGCCAAGAGCGTTTTCAAGGTACGCGTTCCTTGTACTACATGCGCCTTTGAAACTGCATTTCTTACTCATTATGCTACCGTTTGTCTGGCCAATTCGGTCAAGTAATCTTCAGCATGTCTTTGCATAAGTGTGCTGCCTATTTGAAATTTATACGGCACGTTGAAAAGTTATGGGCCTGCAAATGAAAGTATGGCTGGCTGGGGTAATGCCGAAAACGTGCAAAATTACGCACGTTAAAGCACGCTACGTGGACTTTACTGCTGTAGAATAGCAACGCGAATTTTTAGTCACACAAATCACACTTTCAACCGACACAACGGCCTGTTACCTATAAGGAATTATTTACCTGGCATTATCTTATTATATCACACAATTATAACTTCCAGTGTGCACCAAGCGTCCTCAAGCTCTTAAAACGCGTGTCAGCTTTGATAAATTCTGGATAAAGTTTGAGATAAAGTGGCAAAACATCAATGTCGGCATTCCCCGTAGATCATTTCTCCCATTTTCGGCTTTCCCCGCAGTCCGGGGCAACGCCGAAAAAGTCACTTCTTTGATATTTTTAGTTTGTGCGCTTAACGGTATGCGAATTCATCAAATGCGCCTGGTATGTTTGAAAGGCAAAAGACTGGCCTCTCGAATGACGCCAACAAGAATAGCTTATGTTGTCTACCTTGCGTGCTACGGGCGTCAGAAAAAAGTATTCGGCGTTCCCCCAACTTCCCCTATCACCCACGGGAAAAGCCCATTTACGGGTAAAGTCACATAGGCATAGGCACACTGATCATACAAACACGTAATAAAGGTATACAGTAAATGATACAAAACAGACCGCAATCTTGCGACACACGGCAACATCATTGGTCTGTGGGAAAGGCGCGGGAGGATAGCTGAGCAGCGTAAGACTTAGCTGTTTTCCTCACTGTGGCTAAGGAGTCCGTAAACAGGTCTAGCTGGTTGTTTTCACGCAGAAATTCATTTGCGAGCCTCGGCACCCTACAATAGAGCCCATTCTTGATGGTTTCGACTCTGGCGAACCGCACGGCGAACAGATCACGGCGGCGAACTGATCGAGGCGGGACGGCGAGGCCAAAATGAGATCGCAGGGAACTGGAGTCAATTTTGTGCTTGAAAAGACGAGCTACATAAACCAAGTCATGTTGCACCCGTCGTGCTGCCAGAGAAGTGAAAGAATGTGCCGAAAGAAGATTTTCGTAACTCAAATAGCCCCACTGTCTCAAATAGCCCCACTTTACGGTAACCGCTTGGATAACCGCAGTGCTCGCAGTGCTACGGAACGAGTTGTTCAGTTGAGACTTATACGGCCTTGCAGTTGAGCTTATATTCTGTGTCACGTTTCAAAATGTTTGTAAATTCATAGATTTGAGCCATTCTGTTAATTTTGCATGCTAATGTAACGTCACTCCTGTAGTAACATTGATTCCACAGCCAGCCCATCGCTTGAGAAACTAGCAAGCGGCAAATCTTTAAACAACCAAGACAGAACAATGATTTTTGCTACTATATTCTGTCGGGGGCTATAATTCTGAACGGCAGGCTCATGGAAAACATGCCATTGTCAGCCGCTGAAGCTGGTGACGCTCTGTTGTCTTACATTGTGTTTTTGCATGCTACGTAGAAACTTCGGTCGTCTTTTTAATAACTCCTTCCACCGACTTTCCCAATGCAGAAATCGATCGATCAGTATTGTAATAGGTCGGCAGATATGCTGGCGCATGTTTCTTTTTGTACTTACCAGGAAATAAATTTAAAACAAAATGTCAATCCGTGTGTTATTTTTGTAGGCCTGCAAACAGGTCATCCACGTGATCATTTCAATCATTTGTTTAGTGCCTATGGCTAAACCCCGTGTGGAAGCATTTTCGATTCACAGTTCCTCATTATGAGTCTTTGTCTATACTTTATCGCAAATCAGAGACAGGACCAGCCGATCAGCATTTCGAAACGTGCCAAGCCGGTGTTCGTTGATTTTTGTCAAAACCACCACTTTGCACGTGACAATTCTAAAATCGATTTTCGGGCCGTGCGCCTTTTGAAATAAAATGGACTATAACCCCGTTCTCCTCTATAAGCAGTTTAGTATTAGCTACAGGGTTCCGGAAAAAAAGTTTACCCAATGAATCATTAATAAAATTTGCAATTTTTATTCAACTCATCTGAAATTTATACGATGTTTTAACAAAGCAATGAGAACTAAGCATGGGCAAAGTTTGATGCGAATCGATTGTTGTTAGCAGGAGTGGTGGCCATAAGCGGCGGAACGGGGAGGTCACCGGGGCACCGTGCCCTCCTTTGATTTTGGCATTTTAACATTAGCCCTATGGGCGTTGCATGGAAAGAATGGGACCAAAAGTCGGCAATGCCCCCCTTGATTGAAGGTGTTACGCCGCTACTGGTGGTGGCACGTCAAAAAAATCATACGATTTTAGCGGCAAATCAAATGATTTTCAGCACGCCGTGGCCAGCGTCTATAGGTACTTGCCCCATTTGGCGACTCGTAGGCTGCATAAAAAGCATATGGAAGCAAAATAGGCACTACAAATACTACAATTATTATTTAAGATCGAATTCTCAGTTAGGCTTGTCAATAACAATGCCCATTACGAATGAATGAAAACTGTATGGATTGGAAACCTTTGGCCAAAACGCGCTAATAATGCATCGACGACCGCATGGACAAGTGTGACAGCATTTAAAGTACCCACTGTACTAAAAAACAGTGAAACACTGCTGCAAATGACTACTGATGCACCGTTTTTCCTTTTCTTTCGCTGTTGCACTGATGCATAAGGTGCAGGCTTATCTACGGAAAAATTATTCGTTGTGTTCCATGAATTATTCTTCCATGTGCAAAATCGCAGTTTTAGACGGTCATTTCTTTAAAGTGCACCTATGAGCCAAATACGCTCTAAATTACGTTATATACTTCTAATGGTCTTATGATAACACTGTGTGAAAATGAAATGGATTGATCCTGAGGTAAAAGTGGCATGGAAATTTATGTGCGGATTTTTTCGGGATGCTCCCTGGCGCTAAAATCGTACGATTTTTGACGTGCCACCATTCCTGCTAAACACGGCCGATTCGCATGAAACTTTGCTCACTTACTTCTCATTGCATTGTGAAAGCATCGTATAAATTTCAGATGAGTTGAATGCAAATTGCAAATTGCATTAAATATTTTTTTGGGTAAACTTTTTTCCGGACACCCTGTATATGACTTCCTCGAAAAAATAGGTATATAATCATATTGATGTTAATATTGATACAAATACAAATAGTTTAAATATATAATTGTATTTATATGAATATTAATACAAATATATACTGATATAAGCAGAGTGTATTATCAACTAATACTTGTTGTTCATTTGTAATTTTTTTTGGAGGAAAGGTCATAGGTCATATACTAAACTTAATTTGAAATGATTGTTTCTATAAGAGACAATTTTATTATATGGC